TGAGTCACGAATGATTTAAGTATATCCAGACTGAAGTTGTTTATGTTTTGTGTCAACTATTTCAGCTACAATGATAGATCCTTATTTCGAGTTAGGCCCTTAATATCTGCGTTCATACAACGAGCGTATGATCTCAACAGGATTATGGACTTGTGGGACATCAGGGCTTCCGAAAAGCACCGAGTCGTATAAATGGCAGAATATCATTATCTTAAAACTCTGTGTCCAATTGCAAGTCTGCAGCTCTCTTAGATAGTGACACGGTAGTTTCTCTTTTCATGTATCTGCACTGCGAGCTCTCCTTGATTGTTACCTCATTGATTGTTCTGTATAGAACAATGAATGCACGTTCCGTAGGCATATTTTTATTTTGCAATGATTGCTAAGGTACAACTTTATTTTGCAATGATTGCTAAGGTGCGAAAGTCGTGTGTTAAACTAGAGGCTGGGCAATGGTGGCTTTTGTTGGTTAGGCAAGTAGCTTTACTTTTACGTTATTATAGTTTTGGGATTTAATAACTGTTTATGAGGCACGTGAAGTGCCAGGGATGTTAAAAATTCCTGCTCGGGGTATCTTCTTTTAGTAGATGGAAGTATCCGTGTCAGTATCTCCACCAACTATGCGGTCCATTTACCATGCTGACAGTGGGAATTAGACAACACAACAAGTTCTCTTCACTTGATGATTTTTGTTTGATGAAACCCATGTTGAAATGAAAAATACTGTGTTGCGCATCAAAAGTACCCTTTAATGTACTCATAATTGCAAATCATATATCAAGACTTATATTCTATAACTTCATAAGTACTAATAGTTACAGGTGACTGAGCCAAAAACACTGTAGGCTACTTAACATCCATCAAAGCAACAATTTGATGGGTATTATATGTTTCATAGAATTTTCTAAAGTTCATATGTAACTTTTAATTACGTATGTTCACAGATAAGAAGATGTCTTTCTCTCTTTTTCGGGTTTTATGTGGTAATATGATATGGTTAAGTTGAAACATAACATTGCATCGCATATTTATTATTATTATTATTATTATTATTATTGCAGAGGAATCTGAATCAGAGAGTGAAGATTCAGATGTCAGTGGCTCTGATGGAGATGATACATCTTGGGTTACTTGGTTTTGCAACTTGCGTGGGAATGAGTTCTTTTGTGAAGTTGATGACGAGTATATTCAAGATGATTTCAATCTGTGTGGTTTGAGCAGTCAGGTGCCGTATTATGATTACGCGCTTGACCTAATTCTGGATGTAGAGTCATCTCATGGTGAGCATTATGTTGGTTGAGCTACTCTTGCATCATTTAGGATCCTAAGCAAGTAAGTATATATACAATTTGCATGTCTAGAGAAAGACTGTGAATTCTTATGTGTTGGAAAGAACAGATTCGACACTTTATGACTTTCACATGGTGTAATTATAAGCATGGCCCAAATAATTTTCTAGAACAGTAAATGATGGGACCAAGGGAGTGAGTATTTGGTTTTATTGTTCCTGGACCGGTTAATCATCACATATTGCTGTGTTCCACTGTACATAGTTATGACATGTTATCGTATATAATTGCTTCTGGCCAGCATGGATAGTTTGGTTTTCAATCATCCATCTTTCAGATAATTTTATAACACTGTTGAGTAGTTGCCTACTCTCTTTCATGACAAAGTTTCAGCATTCAGAGGATTAATTAAAATTGTCTGTCTAGAACTATCTGCTTCATTGGAGTAGTTATCTGATATATTGTACTTTTATTATCTAAATTTATTTTGTATGTTATTTCAGTAGAATTACCGTGATGGTAACATCTATTCCGTGCTGGGTGTATTCAGGTGATATGTTTACTGAGGAACAGAACGAATTGGTTGAATCAGCTGGAGAAATGCTCTATGGCCTTATTCATGTCCGGTTCATTTTGACTAGCAAGGGGATGGCGGCAATGGTAACAATATCAGAAAGGTTCACCCTCTGATTTCTGAATCATTCAATTTAATCTTTTTTTACTTCTTGTGTTGGAACTTGTACCAGTTAGAGAAGTACAAAAACTATGACTTTGGAAGATGCCCCAGAGTTTACTGCTGTGGACAGCCTTGCCTTCCAGTTGGCCAATTACTGCTCTTTATTTCTTGGTTCCTTTCAAATCATACTTGAGTTGGGTCCACCTCTTTCATGCAATCAAATTTCCCCCATCTGATGCTAAGAAAGAGGGTTAGGTCAGTTTCTCGCAAATGCTGATCGTCTTGGATATGCATATTGTTATGAGACATTACTGTATATTGTTCTTGAGGACACTCATCAAGGAATACAAACTCTTTCTAGTTATGGAATATTTGTTTCGTTTATGATGCTCTTAGGAACTGCTATAATATATGGATGCAATTTCCCTTGACTTCCAAAGATATCGACGGATCATATTTCGGGACCACATTCCCAAACCTGTTCTTGATGACTTACGGACACCTCAGGCCTCAGAAGTTAACACAGAGCTATGTTCCAAGGGTTTTTGGCTTCAAGATGCACAAGCCTTGATGACCAGAGATGTGATGAAGCTCTTCATTCTTCTTCCAAACCAGCAGTTTTCATCTGGCCTTCTATGATGTGAAAATGGGTTGTAAACCAGCCCAGGTAAATCAATGGAGAAGCATTTCAAGTTTATATCGTTCGAGATTGATGTTTACATTTAGAGAGCATGTAAGGTTGTTTTCCCCTTATTTCTTGAGGTTGAGAATTGTTGCCAAATATTTTATTATGTAGTCCATGTGTGCCATATGGGTGCTTATAAGCACCACGGTTTTATATGTACTTTTTGCTTAGGGCCTGATTCAAGAATAGTGGTGGGGTTTTGTTTGACAATTTTCTCTCTTAATTGTTCTTTTCAGATATCAATCTTTTCATGTGATTCATTATAGATGAAAAGATTAAAAAAAAAAAAAAAATCTCATGAGTCCATGGAAAGGAGGTGAACTGCTTTCCTCATTAAATAAGAGAAGGGCTGAGACCAAAAGTGTAGGGATATATATGTACATCTCTCTCTTGGGGGCACCTTCCTACTAACAAATAAGCTACAAGAAAATGGGCACTTTATTAGATGCTCCTTTTGTTCATAGCTTACGATGAGCCAAGTATTTTTTTTATTTAAACTAAAAAGAACCGAAAAGAGTGAACAAATTGAAGTGGGGTGGGATTTTTAGCTAATTTCCGGCCATGTTGATCAAGACTATTGGGGCCTCCTAGTGGGAGCAAGTTGACAAAACTCAGAAAGTGACTTCTCCCATGGTACAAAATTCAAGAAAATGATATCTTACTCCTTATCCTATGCCTATGGGTAGCTTTTGTTGCACAAGTTGTGCTGGCCAAAACCCGGTTCAGGTTAGTAATTTTGGTGAACTGGAGGAAATACTAAGGGTCGGTTCAATGAATTGGTGGTTCCAGTTCAGAATCGGCCCGGCGGTTTAGGACCAGTTCGAGAAATTATAAATAGAAATAAAAATCAACTTTTAAATTAGATTTTTGGTGTCGAACGGCTGGTTTCGGCTCGCAGGCAAAGGTTTTGACCGGGCCGATTGGAAGCATGGCCACATCTTGGTAGGTGTGCTGCTGTGGAGAAAGATGAAGACCATATTTTTAAACACAAAATTAAGGATCAAACAGAAATTAATAATAGTCTTAAACATAATAATGTCTTAATCGTGCACAAAATAATAAAAAGGTTAAACTATAATAAAATGTAAGTTATGTTAATTGTATTTTAGCGGCTTCTTCATGTTCCCGGAGCGAGCTATCATCATCATCATCATGAACAACAACTAATTGCTCTACTCAAAGTCAGATAGATGATGGAAAAGTAAAACTTCTTTTCCCATTTTTTAATTCTTTGGACTCATTCAGTGGCTTCATATCTTTTCTGTCATTTTTAGAACAACATTAATTTTCTATCAGCTGTATATATATATATTTTCCCAAATCCATTTTTTATTATGTCTTTCATTTTCTACTTGTTAAGAAATAGTAGGTGCAATGACTGCGACTGCGCGACCTGATCACTCGGCCCTCAACGACGGCTCGGTGACCTTTGATCCCGGCGATGGATCCCGGCAACCTAACCACGACCTGGATTTCCCGGCACTTGACAGACGTACCCTGCACAAACGCCCTAAGACTCTTAAGCGGACAGGAGAGCTCCTTGATCGATCCCCCTCGCCGGTAGGGCGCCGGGCACCGCCCTCCGAGCAGGAACACCCACCGCGTAAATGGACCTTTAAGGACATGGTTAATAAGCACACCAAGCATGTGGACATGGAGCCCGACGATGGCGAGACGGAACCGGAGGGGGAGGAGGACGTCACTGTTGACCTAACTCAACCGACTCCAGAGATTACGGTGGCCAAGCGGTTTATTGATGAAATTAATAAGGAGTGGCAGAATGCGGTAGTTGTGAAGCCTTTTGACGAGTCCCTCTCTATGCCGTCTCTCTACAATCGCCTCACTAGGATGTGGCCCTCAATGGGGGGTTGTAATATGCTGGACCTGGAGAACGGCTTCTACGTGATCCACTTTTGACACTATGCTGACGCGACTCAAGTTCTCACAGGCGGACCGTACGTCGTAGGGAATAGCTAATACGGAAGTGGTCATCAACCCAGGCGAGTCGGAGGATGAAGGTGGCGATGGACTCGATATTTGGCTAGAAAATATGTTGGAGGAGCCATCTAGTCCTATTTTCCGGCCATCATGTGTACGAGATTGGCCAAAAGGTTGTGGCCCAAAGCTGAAGTCGAAGGTA